TGATGCCATGCTAGGGTCTGCATTTGGCAGGGCCTGATAGGCTAGTGATGAGGGAGTATGACAATACTGCCCTATAGGAATTTTTGTGATGTATGCGTGATCCCCTCATGGACAGGACCAGATGGGGCATAGTTAGTGTGAGACAGTTGTGTTTTATTACCTTATGTTTTCTTTTTCTCTTGCCTCTAAGACCGGTCAAGCTACGGTCAAATGAGGCTTATCTGTAAATGCAGCTGGGCACTATCTAGTCATGCTCACCTCCCTATTTTCTGGTGCCTTTGAGTTCCAGGATGCCTGTAAGGTCAAATTCCATTCACAAAAACTGCATTGTGCTTCCCATGCTCCTCTGATATCTGGGTTTTGTGTGAGGGGCTTTGTGTGGCAGGATGGGCTATACGCGAAGGCCGTGGACAGAAAAAGCCTGCTTTACAACAGTATGTGCAGTCTAGTTCATTAGAGTACTATGTGGTCTTAAATTAAAGCCACAATCATTGTGAAAAACATATATATCTCTCGTGTGTGTGTGTGTGCGCATGCCCATGTGTACGCATGCACGTGCATACACACATTTATATAATATGAGAGAGATACTGGAAATATGTTCTTATCATTTGAATCAACGTGTTAGTCCCCAGCACAGGTGAAAAACTGGGTTTCCTGCCAGACCAGAGATGTTCACCCATCTTTCTGTTGTAATGTTAATTGGGTGTTGTCTCCTTGACAATCTTGAGTTTGTGCCAAATGCAGATGGAGGATTATGAGATTTAACAGGAAAACAGCTGAGGGAAAAGAACCTTGTCTGGGGGTGCACTTGAAAGTGTTACTGGACTATAACTGGAGGATAAGGAAAGCACCTTCTTATCCTGCACCTGGGAAGTAATTGGGCCCTGTGGCTACATTTTTGGAAGCACTACGAAGGGCATTTGTGGTAAGCTGAATTTATGTAGACTTCAGGATAGCCTATTTAGTCTCTAGAAATCTCTAGTAAGCTGCTATTCCATTATCCTTACTCTTTGTCTCTCAGATTATGACTTTTGATGATAAACTTGTCATTTTCACTGGAAATGTATTTCAGACTTGTGGTATTAAAAATGAACTGTTCCCAAACTGAATCATACAAGCTGGCGTATGTATGCTCTTCCCTTGGGGGCTGTAAAGCTGTTATTTCTGAGAGAAGAATAGGAGATGAATACTACAGGGGAATACTTTGAAGGAACTTGGGGTCTGGCCTCCCAACAGAGGGGGTAAAGGGAACAACTGCCCTGGGGCGCGATGATACAAAAGGGGCCAGAGCCCCTGTCAACCAGAACACCGGGTCACTGCCAAAGTGCAACGCAACTGAAGGCTGGCTGGGAAGAGGGGCATGGCCCTCTCCAGGTGGTGCTGAGGACTGCCCAGCCCTAGCTCTGCTCTTCCAGGAATGTGATGCAGGGTCCCCCTCCCACCTGCCCAGAGGCCTGGCAAGGCTGTCGGCCCAAGTCTCGCTATTGTTAACCTGCAAGACGAAGTAAGGGCTGGCATAGAATACTAGGACTGGAAGGGACCTCAAGAAGTCGTCGAGTCCAGTCCCCTGCCCTCATGGCAGGACCCAGTACTGTCTAGACCAGTGGTCCCCAAACTTTTGGGGCTGCCGGGCACCCGGGGGCGGAGCCATCCATATGCTACGTGCCCAGTGCCGGTGCCACCCATGCGCTGCACTCCCGGGGCCGGCGCCGCTCCTGTGCCACGTGCCCGGGGCGGGAATGCTCATACACCATGCGCCTGGGGCCGGCACAGCCCATGTACTGCGCACCCGGGGGTGGGGCTGCCCATACGCCGTGCGCCCAGGGGCCTGTACCGCCCATACGCCGCCTGCCTGGTGCCAGCACCACCCATGTGCTGCACTCCTGGGGCCAGCGCCGCTCCTGTGCCACGTGCCCGGGGCGGGAATGCTCATACACCATGCGCCTGGGGCCGGCACAGCCCATGTACTGCGCACCCGGGGGTGGGGCTGCCCATACGCCGTGCGCCCAGGGGCCTGTACCGCCCATACGCCGCATGTCCGGGGCTGGTAGAGCCCTTGCACCGTGCACCCGGGGGCGGGGCCACCCATACGTTGCACACCCAGGGGCTGGCACTGCCCATTCACCACGTGCCCTGGGGGTGGGGCTGGCCCTGATCACTCGGCGGGCGCACAGAAATGGCCCGGCAGGCGCCATGGTGCCCGTGGGCACCGCATTGTGGACCACTGGTCTAGACCATCTCTGATAGACATTTGTCTAACGTACTCTTAAATATCTCCAGAGATGGAGATTCTACAACCTCTATGGGCAATTTATTCCAGTATTTAACCTCCCTGACAGTTAGGAAGTTTTTCCTAATGTCCAATTTAAACCTCCCTTGCTGCAGTTTAAGCCCATTGCTTCTTGTTCTATCCTCAGGGGCCAAGATGAACAAGTTTTCTCCCTCCTCCTTATGACACCCTTTTAGATACCTGAAAACTGCTATAATGTCCCCCCTCAATCTTCTAGTTTCCAAACTAAATAAGCCCAATTCTTTGTCTTCCTTCATAGGTCATGTTCTCTAGACCTTTAATCATTCTTGTTGCTCTTCTCTGGACCCTCTCCAATTTCTCCACATCTTTTTTGAAATGTGATGCCCAGAACTGGACACAATACACTAACTGAGGCCTAACCAGCGCAGAGTAGAGCGGAAGAATGACTTTTCGTGTCTTGCTCACAACACTCCTGTTAATGCATCCTAGAATCATGTTGGCTTTTTTTGCAACAGCGTCACACTGTTGACTCATATTTAGCTTGTGATCCACTATAACCCCTAGATTCCTTTCTTCCTAGACATTCTTTCTTCCTAGACTTCTTCCTAGACAGTCGCTTCCATTCTGTATGTGTGAAACTGATTGTTCTTTACATAGTATAGCCCTGTCAGGGCTGACTGTCAGTTACCTCTTTACCTTATCGCAGATGGTCCGACTCGAGACAACGGTGAGGCAGTTTCAACCAGTGATGTTTGTTTATGTTGCTAAGGGCCTCCATAGCAACATAAACAAATTGTGAAATAATTAGGTCTAAGGACTTGAGGTATGAGAACTAGATAGCAGTGGTGTTTCTTGCTGGAATCTGCCTGTGGATGTTTACGCCCCTAAGAAAGGAATAATTATAAGACGGCCAAAAGGCACTGATCCGGGGAACAGTCTCACTTGTGGACCTAGGTCGTGTGGGTGCCCAGGAACTCACCACGCTGGAGCAGTGCCTGCTGCTAGCCCTTGAGAATATGGACGGAGGGTCCGGGACTGTCTGTAGCAAAAGGGGCGTAAACATTGGATTCTTTCTTGCTTGCCTGACTGCTTGCTTGCTTGCTTGCTTAATTGCTTGCTTCTCCACAGTGAGAAGCACATATTTAGTAACACGTGAAGGCTGTGAGGCGTAATATGCCGTGGCAATAAAACCTCTTATATTTATGCACCCGGTGTGGCTTTGCTGAGTGTATCCGAGCCTTGTTAGAATGACAAACCTAGAGGAAGCTGTTTAGTGGCTAACAGGCTGCAGGTATCAAGAAGCTGACACTCAGGCAGAAGCAAATCCCTGTCTCACTGGAGAGAGAGGGTAACAGCGTGACTCATGGTAATGGGCATTCAGAGAATCATCGTCTTCTGTGTTTGTAACAGTTTTTTGTATCTCTTGTATCAGTTGATGATGCCATACCTTGAGATATTAAGTGTGTCATAACTGTTCCTGATGCAGTGAGGAATTCTAAACACAGGTCTTGGGAGATAAATAAGAGGAACTAATTTTCATCTTTTCTTTGCAACACCGTGACTCTTTTTAAGTTGATATGGAATGATATTTGATTGGTTAGCTATGTTAATAGATTAATCAGAAGGGTTCATGCAGTAAACAAACAATATTTAATGTATGCCATTTACCATGGAGACAGCACATTTCTTCTTCTTGAAATAATTTTTTCTCTAATTTTAACTGTCTGTGGAAGTCAGATGTTTGTGATGGAAATCTTGACATGACTATGGTTTGCTTTTGCTTTAGATAAACTCAGAAGAAGCATGCCTAACTTAGCTCGGATGCCAAGTACTCCCACCATTAATAACAATGCTAGCTCTCCAGTCTCTGTGAGGAACAGTCAAAGTTTTGATTCCAACTTACATGGAGCCGGTAATGGTATTTCCAAAATACAGTCCTGCAGTAAGTATATGTCTTCTTCTGCTCCTTGCTGTCCTGCAACCTACTTCTTTCTGCAGCTGTGAAATATTTTATCCAAAGCTGTAGGTGGTGCTTTGACTTCACACCCTCAGATGTCATAGCCCAAGTGGCAGCATCTATAGAACAATTTATTTTTAGTGACCTGCTAGCATGAGTTTGTGGACCCAGGCTGGGAGGCTTGTTCCCAGGTGCTGAATGGTCATAAGATCAGTGACTCTTAACCTTTCCAAACTACTGTGATCTTTTCAGGAATCTGATCTGTCTTGCATGCCCCATGTTTCATCTCACTTGGAAACTTCTTGTTTACAAAATCAGCCACAGCACACTGTTATCGAAAAATTGCTTACTCTTATTTTACCGTATAATGATAAAAATAAAACAATTAGAATATAAATATTGTACTTTTTATTTCAGTGTATAAATATATAGAACACGATAAACAAGTCATTGTATGAAACTATAGTTTTACTGATTTCACTAGTGCTTTTTTATATAGCCTGTTGTAAAACTAGGAAGATATCTGGAAGACCTGATGTACACCTAGCCTGGTTTAGAAACAATACCTTAGGGCTACGTCTACACTGCAGGCTTCTTGCGCAAGAATTGTTTTGCACAAGAATTCTTGCAGAAGAGTGTGTCCACTCTGCCATGACCTTTTGCGCAAGAGCGTCCATGGCAGTGTGGACGCTCTCTTGTGCAAGAAAGCTCTGATAGCCATTTTAGCTATAGGGGTTTCTTGAGCAAGAAATCCATGTTGCCTGTCCACACTGCCTTCTTGCGCAAGAGCTCTTGTGCAAAAAGGCTTATTCCTCATGGGGAGAGGAATAACTCTTGCTCAAGAAGCCCTCTTTTTCTGACACTGTACTGTAAATTTACTTGCGCAAGAATGTGCGTCAGTGTAGCGCTCTGCAAGTTTTTGCGCATGAACAGCTGTTCTTGTGCAAAAAGCCTGCAGTGTGGACATAGTCTAGGTGTTTTAAATGAATGATGCCCTTTTGGTGTTTAGTTTCTATCTCATGGATCATAAAATCCACAAGATGCACACAAGAGGGCAGAGTTGTGTAGAGAATCCATATAAAGCTTGTGGATCTTTCAGCACTGATTTAAATAATAGTTTGTGTAACACTGCATGTAGAAAGTGCTGTTATATTCATGACGCTTTTTATAACTTTTGGCTATTTTTATTCATGAAACATAGACCTATACAAATGTTTTTTGTAATGCCAAAACAATTGTGTTAGTATGGGAAAAGTAGCATTGATAATGACTGACTTTTTAGTGATAAGGGAAAATAATCTTCTACTATATATTTGAGTGAGTCTGTCTGGGCATGAGTGAGTCTGTTCAAGAACTCCTCCTAAATGGTAAGAACTACGGCCACTAAATTCGGAATGCAGCAGCTTCCTCTTACCATAACTTAAACCAAGGTAAAGGGTTGGTTGTGCCAGGAACATGGGATTTGCCCAGAATGGGATTACTTCTTATAAAATCCAAAAGAAAAGAGACATAATCACCAAGCAGGTGAAAAGGGCTGGCTGGGGGGCACACCCCTCCCCTGCTGGAATTGCCCCAGCCCCAAGCTTCCCACTCCCCAGGAGCCCTTGAGGAAGGATATGTAAGCTCCCTGCCTCCCCCTGATTCATATGGAACATTGCTGGCTGTTCCCCTTCATAAGGGAACCAGGGGAAAGTGCACAGTTTGCTGTATTGCTCACTCTGGATGGGGAGTGCAGGAGGCAGACAAACCTGGACCTGCCCTTCCTAGCCGGGGGACATGCACAGCCAGAGGAGGGATAGTCTGGTGGAGCTGCAACAACTATGGAGAGGCACTTGTCACCTGGCTTCAAGCTGCTGCAGTGAGAGACAGCTGGGGTTGTCTTCTCTCCCTGGGGCAGCTTGCATACTGAACCCCTCATGCTCAGAGCACTGATTGAAATGAAGAAAAACAAAAATTAGTTGAGTTAAGGACCCAACCAATGAGGATCTTATTTTGTGCGGTAGGGGATAGGGATGTGAATGGATAACCAGTTACCCAGTAAGCATCACCCTTTTAATGCAGTGGCCAGCTGCAAGTGCAGGGTTGGCTGGGAGTCAGTAGCCTCATAGTGGGATGGGAAGAGGGCGGGAAGGGCTGCCAGCTCCCAACCCGTGCAAATGCCAGAAGTGGCAGCCTCTCCCCCCACTGCTAATTCCCCCCTGTGTGAGGCTAATGACTCCTAGGCTGCCTGTGCTGGGAGCCAGCAGCCCCCTCCACTGCTGCTGCCCCCTCCAGCATTTCTGTGGGGCTGGAGCAGCCACTGCTGGAGAGACTGCTCCAGCCTGCCCTGTTTAATCAGTTAAATGTTAAGTCAAACTAATTAAATGGGATTTTACATCCCTAATAGGGAGCCATCTGCTGGCAAAAGCTTTGCAACATATTTACTGTATATTTGAGATTAAAAGAAAAATTTGAGTTAAGAACCTGAGCAACACTGGGTAAATCTTCTAGTAAATTACAAGTTCAGCTAATCTATTATGTTAAAACTTTAATTACATTAGAGAATTATAGTTTGTTGTTACCTAGAATCATTTCAGAGCAAAAGAGGAGCGAGAAGTAGAGAATAGGATTTTTGTCTGATGCTCTTATTTTTCTTTGGTAGTAGAGTTTTTAAATTTTTACTTACACACTGCAACTGTTAGTCCAGTTTATTTGTATTAGATCTAAATGTTTAACTTGTTTACAGCTGGTTTGATTAAAACAAAGATGCACCACTGTACAGACTTTTTAGAAATAAGTGCTAATACTTGGTACTATGTGTTATGTGCTGACATTGTGTACTTCTTTTGTTACCACCCAGTTCCATCTCCAGGACAACTTCAGCACAGAGTCCATAGCGTGGGACATTTTCCTGTGTCTGTCAGACAGCCTCTCAAAGCTACGGCTTATGTAAGCCCGACTGTACAAGGCAGCAGTAGTATTCCCTTATCCAGTAACTTACAATTATATTCTAATACTGGAATCCCAATGCCAAACAAGACTGCGAATCCTGGGACTGTAGGACGTAGTGCTCTTCCAAGACCCTCATTAGCCCTAAGTGGGAGTAGCATACCCAGAAGTAAAATTGCACAGCCAGTTCGAAGGTAAGAGAATTCTCTTTATTAATGCAAAGAGTTAAATGCATCTCATTTACATGTGGCTAGCTTTGGCTTTGGAGACGCTTTGGCTTTGGAGACTCTTCTCTTTCTTTCTTTCTTTCTTTCTTTCTTTCTTTCTTTCTTTCTTTCTTTCTTTCTTTCTTTCTTTCTTTCTTTCTTTCTTTCTTTCTTTCTTTCTTTCTTTCTTTCTTTCTTTCTTTCTTTCTTTCTTTCTTTCTTTCTTTCTTTCTTTCTTTCTTTCTTTCTTTCTTTCTTTCTTTCTTTCTTTCTTTCTTTCTTTCTTTCTTTCTTTCTTTCTTTCTTTCTTTCTTTCTTTCTTTCTTTCTTTCTTTCTTTCTTTCTTTCTTTCTTTCTTTCTTTCTTTCTTTCTTTCTTTCTTTCTTTCTTTCTTTCTTTAAGTCTGAATTAAGGCTTTTAAACAGTATTTCCTTTACAGGTTACTGATGCTGCACAGAATTCTGTCCTCTCTGTACATGCCTTTCTCTCTCCAATAAAAACTGCCCACTCATAAACCCCAATGAACCTAACAATTAACTAAACTTACATAGTGATAACCACTCAGTAGTGTTAAGTAATCACAGCCTCCCCTCTCCCAACCTTGTTTAAAATAATAGCTTGTGCAATGTGCCTCGAAGGTAATTGAGCAAATGGTGTGAGCAAATTCCAGTGTCCCAGAGTCTCCCCAGAGAATGGCTTGCTGAGAGCTCCCTCTTTTTTAAAGCAATGGGGTTGCACTTCTGACTGCAGCTGTGGCAGGATGGCTCGGTGAAAGATATGGTGTGTCAGGTAGCTAGGTTCCACACCTTCTGGGGCTGTGTAGGTCATGACCAATACCTTTTAAATTCCAGACTGCAGAAACCAGTAAGCAATTAGTGCAGATCCAGAGCCCTAATGTCATTTGCTCCGAGATAAATGTACGAGCTGCTAAATTCTGGACCTACATACGTTTCCAAATGGTTTTAAGGGATAGCCCATGTAGAGCAACAAAATAAGCTTAAGTAAGACTGTGATGTGATCATCCTACACCAGGTGCAGATCTAAAATAAACCTTAAATTATGAACTCTTATGACTGATGGGGGGGATGGATTCCCTCAGATACTTTTGCCGTCTCTTACAGCTGCTTCCTACAGTTCACAGTATATCACCTTGATCTTGTTTGACGTAGGCTTTGGCCACTTTACTCTGATCCATGCCCAAATCTCAACTAGATATTGTCTAGATCCAGAAAAACACCGCTGATTCACAGTTTTCCGTTAGTGTTTTTATTTACACTCGTAATTCCACTGTTTGGCTGAGTGTTGGTACAAAGGAGATGTGAAGAAAAAAGAACTGTTTCCTTTTCAGTGAAGCATATACCCTTAGATTTACAATGTAGCCTTTGTTTGCTTCTTTGTTCCCTGCTGGATTCTCTCTCTCTTTTCTAGAATAGAAACTGAAATAGGTCTGTCACAGGGCAAGTAAACTTCTCATTCTGGAGGTAGGGCAAGGACACAGTTAAATCAATATGGCTGCCCTTAGCCTTAGAGCTGCATGGTTCAGTGGCCAGACTCACTAGGGCACCTGTTGGCTGCAGGGAAGTGCTGCCTAGTGGCCATAGTCAATAGGAAAGGGTTTGGTGGGCCGCCCCTCAAAGAGGATGGAGGGATAAAGTGACCAGGGTCCTCCTCACTCCATGAGGTCCTAGCATAGGGCCTGGGAAATGACAGATGGGTTCACCACTAAGTCAGTGGGGATCCACATGCCGACTGCTCCAGGAGCATTGGCTGGTCCCTCTCTGGGCTACTTCCTACTGTGATTCCTACAATTGATCTTGGGGTGTCTATAATTTCCCTGGGGTATCCACAGGTACCTGGCTGTTTGTCCGGGTCTCAGTATTTCCTGCTGTCACAATCCAGAATCCTGGCTGTTCCTCAGATGGAGCTGGCAAAGTGCATCCTTGTTCCTCTGTGGTCAGCACAGACTGAGCTAGGCTGCTCCCTTTTTATACTGCAGCCACAGTTGGAGCATGCCCAGCAAGAGCAAGGGGGCATGGCTCTTGCCACCAAGAATGCTTTCTTATCCTTTTCATCCCTAGTGTGGTGCAAGTACGCCCCATCACAAGGTTTTTTTGTCTTCTTGTTTTCTTTCCCCCAACTTCACATTCTCTTTTTTAACTCAGTTTCCTAAGGCATGCAAAACTTCAGGACAGAAGATGTTAAAGTATGAGTTGCTAAAGTTGCTGAAGCCATGGTTGTCAGTAGTATTGGCAGCTAGAATTGACTAGCAAAGGATACTCTTAAACGGAGATGAGTCACCCATATTGTATGAAGATACTGCTTACTAAAATCAGCTACAAAATCAAACAAACAGAATTCTTGATTAAATACTTTGAACACAATTAAATAAATTAATAAGAAAATATAAAAAAACAAAGCAGCACAGATGTGTAACCAGTCTATGTATTGTTATAATTCTTACTCTCTTTTACCTCTTTCCATGCTTATATCCTATCATGTTAGCTCTGTGTCTAAATGGAAAGCCTAATTAATTAGATTTATTTTGACCAAAAGCAAGAGAGGAAGACTGTGCAAAAGAATGACCTAAGACAGAAGTGTGGTAACTTTTCCTGGCCTACCAGTACTGGCTTCATGCTGTATGACCCTAGCTGTTGAGTCTTCACCTATCCCTGCTAAGCAAATAGCCTGCCACAAGTACTTTGAGCCTTCCCTTTGTTGGCCCTTAGAGGAAGTTTAATGGCCTTCTGTCTCCTCCCAGGTTTCTTTGAGGGGAGTAAGCATTTGGCTGAACTGCTTTCCCTCTCAGCCCCTCATGGAGAAGAAGCTGGGTTGCTTGCTTTCTGCCTTACAGCCAGTATGTTTTATGTAAACAATCATTTTTGAGAAAATAAAAGCATCTCTTTCCTACTTACAAAATATGTAAATGCTTTTAGCGCTGCTAGCAGGCTGTTAGTTATGGCAGTAGCTTTTCCTTTGAGAGAGCTCTAAGTGATTAGTTTCATTATACAAAGTGCCATTTTATAGTTCTGCATCTTTTCTAATACTGTTGACAGTTGAAATAATGTGGTGTAGCTCAACTGTACGCTACAGTAGTTGGTTAGCCCTCTCTCTCCTACCTAGCCCCAATGGTTCACATAATTTACTCTAAATTTCAGCCCTTCTTTTCTGCCTTGTTGCAACATAAACTGGGAATTAATGGTGTTGGAAATGCTTAAGCTGCCAGGAAGAGCTTGTGTGTAAGGGATACATTTTCTTTTCTGGTGCCCTAAGGCTCTATCAAAGGACCCAGAAGGGAGCAGGGAACCCTACGGTGTTGGACACTGAGAGGGAGAAAACTGTGTGAGAGAAGCCAAACGGGGTTATGAAAGTAAAGAAAACTGACGGAAGCCCAGTTCCACCTCTTAGTAATGATATAGGGAGAGCTCTTGCTGTTTCAGCCTACTGCAAATGACCAGAACCACTGTCTGCAGAGCAAAGCAAAAATAAATATTCATGTCTGCTGTTTACTTATTGATTTAATCTTTCTTGCAGCAGGCTGCCCCCTTCATGCATCTCAGGGTTCCTGACATGAGAGGAGGCTGCAGATTCAGCAATAGTTGTGGCTAGTGGGGGAGCAGGAAAGGGAGAGAATCAGGATCTGAGAGGATGAAAACTGACTTTTCAGGCTATGACTCCCCCAGTGCTTGTTGCTGGTGGCTCTCTTGGCAGATTTCAAATCACCATATCCACTGACATTTCCAGCCTCACCCCTGGGATGCAGCCTCCTAGCCCCCTCCCCCATTTAATTTTAGCAAAGTGATGTAATCAAAATATGGGGTTTGTAAAATGTATATAGCCTCCATGAAATGGTTAAAAAAGCAGATCGAGCAGAGTTGGATACAGTGTCAGGCTACTTGTTCCAGGCAGGTTCTCTTTAAATCTAATTTTAAGCAGCTGTCTTCAGTCATATTTGAAGATTTGAGGAATAGTTAATTGCTAAGGAATTAATAATAAATATCTGTTATTTAACTATCGGTTGCATTATACCGCTAATGTTGCCCAGCTTTTCTTTTTTGATGAAGTTTTTAAAACTTGGAATAAGCCAGTTTCAGGAAGATTCTCTCTTCAGGGACAATATGCTGCCATTGACAGAAAAAAACCCCATACTGATATTTTTCAAATGCATATTGAGCACAACATTTTATGTGGGGGAATATACCCATATCCCCCTGTTTTTAAGCTGAAATTATTTTTTGCAGTTTGTTTGTATTGACACACACACTATTGTTTCCGGTAACAGAAACGTATTTGCACTGTTTTTTAATCCTATTGCAAGTTGGACCTGACCAGTCCTGAATCAGGGGATTTGCTGGACCAGGGGCGATCGCTCCTCTCATGACCCCTGCTGCCCCTATACTAGGGTTCCAGCCCCTGCCACTTGCCCAACCAGGACTCCTCAAGCTGGGGCTCCCTGGCTGAAGCTGGAGCTGGTGCTTCTTGCCTGCCACTGGAGCTCCACAGCCGGAGCTGTAGCACCCTGGCTGAGACCAGCTCCACTACCGCTGGGCTGGAGCTTCCCAGCCTGCTGGGACCAGAACTCCCCTCCATGTTGCCCACCCCTGACGTAGGGATTCCAGCTGAGTTGACATCCCCTGCTGCAGGCTCCTGATTTCCCTGTTCCTGGGCTCTTTGGCGGATGTTGCTGGACCAGAGGGTCCCAGTTTAGGGAGCTACAACCTGTAGTGCTGCAGAACCAAAATAGTTAGGAGAGAGGGAGGGAGGTTTTGTTTGATCTTGTGTATCGCCAACAGAATTGTTACTAAGTCCCCAGCCTGTCCCACCTGTGTGAACTTCCTAAAAGAGGTGAGATTGCACAGGAGAGGGCTGCCTTTGCAGATCTTTTTCAATACTGGTGTTAGTGAGAAGGATGTAGTTTTTGTGCCTTGTGGGGAGAACAGTGGGGAGAGGGCTAAAACAAGAAATGAGCCTTTTTTTCTTTATATGTGGAGAAGACTAGGATGAACAGGGCAAAATATTGAAGAAAAGAGAAGAGTTGATGAGTCGGAAAAGAAGGATTGACAGGATTTACCTTTTTATGCCAGACCATACTGTTCCTGTGTCAAGTCAAAAGAGCCACACCCTCTGGTTTAGGATTGAAATATTGCTCCCATCGAAGTCATTAGCAAAACTCCCACTGACTTCAGTATGGGTAGGATTTCACCCCAGGTCCTTAGTTCTGCCATTTATAAAATATTAGCATAGAGATGAAAGTGTGCCGTGGAAGAATGTGCATGCATGTACCTATGGGATCCCCTACAAGGCAAGCTTCATTATATAGATGACTAATATATACCTTCCTGTTCTCTTGCCTGAAATATGGCTTTTTTTTTTTAAACAGCTTTCTTCAGCCTCCAAAGCCTCTTTCTTCTCTTAGTACTCTACGAGATGGAAACTGGAGAGATGGCTGCTATTGATGTCAGCTGCCCCTGAACAACGGAAAAGAAATAATGTGGTTTCTATTACCCAGCGGGCTGGGTAGCTATGTCACAGGAAGGGAGGGTCCCACAACACTGTTTTCCATTGAATTTTAATATGTAAGAATATCCATATACCCTGTCACTTTTTAAAAATGAACATTAAAAACTAAATATTGCACTTAGTCATTTGCCTGGAAAACTGCAGTGTTAACAAACAGTTGCAGTATTGTCATTTAGAACTTAAGAATTTTTTATAAATGTTCAAACTACCGGACTTACTTTCTTTGAGAGAACTAAAAAATGCCACTATTTCAAACAGCTTTGTCATATAATAGGGTAATTTATTCAGTGTACTTTGTAAAGATATTATGCATTTTGTTGCAAATTTGGGGGCCTACATTATGCACTTGGATTTTTTTTAAGTGTTTCTGAGAATTTTATTTTTTGCACTTAATTTCTTTCACATTTGCTTGAACAACACAGAGAGTTTAATTTTTGTGTTTGCCATAAATAATATTTTTCTGGTAATGCACTATTTTTTAGCACTAGGAACATATCCTTTCAAAAACATACCATGGGCAATATTTAAAAAGTAATATTTATGTTCCAGAAGCACAAAAAAGTAGCATTCACTGGAAACTGCCATACATAATTTTGTTTTTCATCCATTTATTCAAATGTTAATTTATTATCATAGTGTTTTGTATTTATAATGGCAGGACAAACCACATTTCACTTAAAAGGTGCAATGGTCACTAAATTACAGTTAGTTTTTCAATACTTTGTTACCAAAAAAATAAAACTGTAATGTTTTAATAATGGTTGCTTATGGGAAATGAATGAATTTTAATGCAAATAAATCTTTTTGATAGACCTTTTACAAATCCAATTGCACTAATCTATGCTTTCTTATAATGGCATATGATTTAATATTTGATTACAACTGTGTATACTGCTGTTTTGGAATGTTTCAGAAATAAAGACTCTATTTCAGCAATATCATGCTGTGCTTGAGTATGCAATGTAAGCACTGTGTTTGTACTTGTTTTTTTTCCTATCCATGGCATAACATATTACAAAAGCTACTGAAAGTTTTATTCAGCCTTGAGAACTCTTTGCAAAATGCAGGACAATGTAGCACTTTAAAGACTAACAAGATGGTTTATTAGATGATGAGCTTTCGTGGGCCAGACCCACTTCCTCTTTGAAGAATATACAAAGACAGTAAAAATTGAATTTCTTAGCCAAATTTTGTCTAGAAAACAGACACATTTGTATTGCCTTAACATTACTTTTGGAAAATATAAAATCTCTTGAAACAAAGCAGTGTCTGCAAGTACACTTTTTATAATTGTCAAAATAGAGTCAGTGCTCTGAATAGAGTGATTCCATTCTGCAACTATGGAATTTGTCTCAGAAATATACATCAGAAAATCTGGCTCTAATTTGCTTAGAAATTTATACTTGTGAGTAAAATATACCGAATGTGAATGTAAGAAACTGATCAAGGCATGCCTTCGTACTGCCAAATACAGTAGCTCACAGGTGCAAAATCCATTTTAACTATTACAAATCCCAAATCATCCTACAGAATGTAAGATCTAGCATGGAAATTTTGGGCTCCAAAAGTACATATTTTGAAAAACAGAAAATATTGAAACTATTTGTAAGACATTACTTTATAGAAGTGGGTAACAAAATATATCTGTGTTTTAAAAATGTGGTGTAGAAATTCCCTTACAAATGGTAATACTTCTGTTGTACACAAGAGGACAGTGTGCGCCCTGAAAATGCTTTATTTTTATTAGGTAAACCTTGTGTGTTGCCTAGACTTTTAGTTTGAACTTCATGCTTTTTTTCCCCAATGCTGTTTATATGATGATAGCAAGTTAGTTTCTCTGAGATTATGATTTGGATTAAAAAAAACACACTAGAGTATGTGTAGAGAACTGGAGAAACAAGTATCACCATTATTATGAAAGTTACTAGCTCAGAGAAAGTGGCATTAGGACACTGTTTTTTCAAATATCTTGAACTGCTCAAAGTTTATTTAACACTTGCAGTTTAGTAATGCATCCTTTGCTCACATAAGAGCTCTCTAACCTTATAAAACTATTGCTTCCTAGTTACAGGTAGTCCTCCTATGTCTTTTCTGATGCTGCCAAATAATAATCACAAACAAATCCAGGTTGCAAAGATTTAGATTTATTCTAATCCACAGAAGCTAGCATTACTGTTTTTTCCCTGTATCTGGGAAAGCTGGAATCTTCTGTGAAACTAGTAATGACTAACCAGATATTGAAGAGTTTACAATTGTGACAAGATGCTTCACCATAGCAACCCTCAGGAAGCTAAATGCATGAGATCTGCAGTGCAAAACCACCTCTGTCACTCTTAATTTTGCTTGAGTCATAATCTCCCCCAGGCTACACAGAATGCTAACAGCTTGACTGCGCACAGTGCTTGCCTTCTTAAAAAGTCAACATTTACCAACATACCACAGTTGTTGCCTATTCTAGGTAAGGGAAAGTAGTTTGGCATCTTGGTAAATGTTGTACATTTTTGATTGATGAATGTTATACATTTTTATTATGAATAGTTGTGTATATAAAATTTTGTGATATGTTTGTCTCATGATAGGAGGTATTAATTGCCAATTTCAAGTGAGTTTTTTGCAGTATGTGTTATCCCTTTATGTTTAACAATCTGAGCCACAATGTTTGTGGCTATCACACTTTAGTTACCTTTGCCAGACACAAAGAAGAGCTCTGTGAAGCTCTAAATCTTGTCTCTCTCACTGACTGCCATTGGGCCAATAAAAGTTATCACCTTCCCCACTTGCCTCAGTGTTCAACTAGGAAATGAAGATAGTATGCACACGCTTAAAAAATCTTTTTGTTATATTTAATCGCAGGACAGGAAACATATTATTAATAGAAAATTTTTGGTAAGAAAGTGCTGTCGCCAATGGAATTTACTGTAGCCCCCTCAAAAATTAGGCCATTAGAGAGACTTAATCAGTGCAGAACTAATGGTAGAATTAAACTTGAGAATATTTTTTATATATCACACTCTGTTCACAACAGGTAACCAACTGGAGCACACTTGTATTCCATGATATAACCAGGCTGGCAATTAGTTCTGGGCACAATTCAAGTATTAGATTAGACCCGTGGTCCCCAACACAGTGCCCGCGGGCACTATGGCGCCCGCGGGGGCATTCATGTGCCCCCGCCACGTGCTCGGGGCTGGCCTGGCCCTGGGCACGTGGCGCATGCACAGTGCCGGAGCCGGCTCCAGGCACATGGTGAGCGCCGGCCCCAGCCCCGGGCGCTTGGAGGAGGAGGAGGGGGGGCGCCGCCCCCGGCGCTTGGAGGAGGGGGGTGCCGGCCCCAGGGGCGCGGCTATGGGGGGGCCCCGCCCCCTGGCGCCCGGCAACCTCCACCGGTTGGGGCCATTGGGTTAGACCTATCAAACCCTACATTTCTCTTGGCTACCTGAGAGATTGTCGTCGCCTTGTGTGCTACAGCAGCCTTTGACAGAGCAGCCTGAAGGAGGAACAAAGCCAAAGGCTAGGTATGTTCACTCCTTGAGATTGGAACTTGATTCTTCTTAGGTTGCAAAAGCCTGAGTCAAAAGTAGCAGGCTGCTAGGCCTCACTGTTCTCCCAGGTTTGGTGGAAGGAGCTGGGCTAGGGAGGCGGCTGAAAATCCTGTCAGATTGGGTAGGCGAAAAGAACAAAATCTGCTACTGGTTTATTTTTCTAATATTTGTAAATACATGTAGCATAGAATGTGAACTGGGATCTTGACCAGTGTTCTCTGGAAGATGAGCGCTTGGGCAGCTGCCACCTATATGATTGTCAGAGTCTGCACAGCATGTGTTTCTATTGGTGGTGCATGTCTGCACATTTCTCAGTACACGTAACAACATTTATTCCACACATGGATGGAAAAATTAGAGAAACATGGATCTTGACAGGTGGATAAAAGAGCTAACTAGTTTCCATTTTATCCAAATCTTTTTAGAATGTGTGTAGAAGATATAAGTAACTTTCTTAATTTACAGAACTACCTGGATTAAAGTATAAAATGAGAGTCGAGCCCAGTTGGAGGAGTTCGCATCTTAGGGTAAGTCTACACTTCAAACTGTGAGGTTTCCTTCCCAGCTTGAGTTGATGTACTCACACTAGCTCTCATCCCCCTACACCAGGCATGTCCAAAGTCCGGCGCGCGGGCCAATTGCGGCCCGTGTTCCGATTTAATACGGCCCCCGCTTCCTCCCCCTCTCCTGGCTCCCTGGCGCTCTTTTGAACTGGCGCGCCCAGCGCGCTGCTTCCGGCCGTG